GATGTCCCCCATAACTAGACTGAAGAACAAAAGGACAGCAACTTGTCTGTTCCCCTTCCCCGATTCCCCAATTAAAAAATCTAAAAATAAGATCATATACATTAAGCTTAATAAAATAAAAAAAGTAGTGTCCTATGAAAGCATTTAAAAAGTTGTCTGGGGGCTCCAAAGTAATAGATGAGTATTTGCATTTTGAGTGTCTTTAATTAATTGGTAGAGAGGATGGGCCATTTCTCCGTATCCCAGGATCCATCGGCGACAGTAGCCAGTAATGCCTAGGAAGTCTCTTAGTTGTTTGAGGGTCTTGGGTAAGGGATACATGGAGATGGACGGATTCTGTCCTCTCCCAGGGCCCTAGTTCCTTCAGAGATAATCAGCCCAAGGTATCTGACAGAAGTCTGATACATTTGGGCCTTAGTCTTAGAAACTTTGTAACTCTTAGAGGCTAGAAAGTTTAAAAGGGCAATAGTGGGCCGGCCAAGTTCCGCATTGGTTAAGAGCTGGCCCCGGTGCAGATCCCACATGTGAGGGCCGGTGACACTGCCCTCTACAGCTAAGATGCTGAACAGCAGCTCAACTTGGAGCTGGGCTGCCGTGAGTTGCCGGCGACGGAGTAGGCTGCAGCCCCTGCTGCAGTGGGTTGCCAGGGGCTACCGTGTGTAGCCAGCAGCCAGCATGAGCGGCCGTCCAGAAGCCAGCGACCAATCTGCCTTGCCTGGGAAGAGCACAATGATGGTGCCAACTTGGGCCAGTGAAGCAACATCCTCCACAACTAGACTGAAGAACAAAAGGACAGCAACTTGTCTGTTTCCCCTACCCCCAATTCCCCAATAAAAATCTTGAAAAAAAAAAAGAATGAATGTAAGAACATTAGGTTGCTCCATATGAAGCCTAAGGGCTGAAAAAAATATTTAATAATGGGCTTGCCCGTGACTCCACGGACCGTAACATGTCGATTGGAGAGGGTCCCTGGATTGGAGAGGACTGAGAAGGTGGCTCCTGTGTCCAGGAGGAAATCAACAGGTTTTCCTTCCACTTCTAGGATTACCCAGGGCTCAGGAGTCCTTATGGTTAGATGGGACAGAGGAGCCACTGTTAGGAGCCCTGGGCCCCATCAGTCTTGAATGTGAGTCTGACTGGACGAGGCTGGCCTCGGGGGTAGAGGCCTCTGAGGACAGCCTGCTTTCCAGTGATCCCCTTTGCAGATGGGACAGAGCTGTGGAGGCTTTGGGCCTGGCCCCAATTGCCACAGGCAATCCTTTTTCCAGCATCCAGACTGTCCACAACGGTGACAGTCAGAATTCCCCTGGGCACCCTTTTGGCCAGTAGCCTGTAAGGTAGCCACCAATATTTCCGCCATTTTTAAATTTTTTCTCTCCTTATCCTGGGCATCCTCTAGGTCCTAATTATAAAAGACAGTGTTGGTCACCTTGAACAGCTGGTCCAAGGTGCCTTCAGGGGAAAAAAAAGGGGAGGAAAAAAAAAAGTTGTCTGACCATGTATGTGGATAGGGAGAACCTATCTTACCTAAGGGTTCCTTGGGTAAATGATATCTGAAGGACAACTAGTAGTTAATTAGATGAAGATGTGGGGGATGGGGGGGGGCACTGCAGCCAAAAGCATGTGTAAAGGTTCTGGGTTCTGAGGTAAGGTGAGGAAGTAGTGCACAGTGATTAAGAGCATGAGTTTTGGAGACAGACCGCCTGGATTTGATTCACCTGTTATTAGCTGTGGGCCACAGGGCAAATTACTCAGTTAATCTCTCTGGGCTCCCATTTTTCTCATTCTGAAATGGGGATAATAGAGGCATTTACTTTACAGGGTGATTATGAGAATCAGATCAGTTAATATATATAAATAGCTTAACCAGTGCTTGCCACATAGTAAATGCTAAACAGTATTTAAGTGTTAGCAATTAATGAACATTCATTCTGAGGAATGAAATAAAATAAAGCCACTGTGGTTGGAGTGTGAGAAGTTAAGGTGGAGAGATTGGCAAGTATTAAGGTTAAAAGATTTTAAGCAGGTGAGTGACTACTATAATTAAAACGTAACTGGTGAAATCTCTTCCTCTCCAGACTCCATCCAAGAGAACACACACGGATCACATCAGCTCCTTTCAAATTTTCAAAGGTCCCCACTTTCTGCCTTCATGACAAAAACCAAATGCCTTACTTACACAGCTTAAAAGGCCCTTTTCAAAATCACTCTCTACCTTTATGGTCACACAATTCACCTAGTTCCCTTTACAAACAATCTTCAACCACCAAAATATAAGCACTTTATGCTTCAATACTACATACGCCTCACTGCTTTTCTCGTTCTCTCATCTGCAGTAATCCCTTTTCTCATCATTGATTGGAGATCTGGTACTATTACAGTTCAAAGCATTTTCACCCGCAATTTAGTCTCTCTTTACAACTGTGTTAGACGGTATTTCTACAAATTTCTTGAGAAATTTAATTGATATGGACTTATGCATAAATTCAGGTAATATTTTTCCTTCCTACTTCAAAGCTTGTTCCTTTCCTCTGAGATCCCCTTCTAAAAGTCCAAAGTCTCTTTATAAAAATGGAAAGATGTTTTTAAAAAGAGATAAAACCCTAAGTCAACCCAACAGTCAGGATCACTCCATCAAGATCAACAGTGGAACCAAACATAAACTGTCCTGGAAGTCAGAATTAAAGGCATAGGTTCTTAACCAGAGGTCCACGGAATCCTCAGGGCTACAAAGTATATTATGAAGCCCCTCAAATCGCATGCAAAGTATGTGTACATGCCTTTTTCTGGGGAAAGGGTCCATACCTTTCATCAGAGTTTCAAAGATATCTGGGACCTCCAAAATGTTAAGAAGTGCTCTAGAGAAAAGCAAAGACAAGCAAGTATGATTAAAAGGCTAAATCCTTTTTAGGCTGTCAGGAGTGACTCATGTTCTCTTAGACTATCAGGTCAGAGGACATTACCCAATCAAAATAAAATGTAATATAGACCTAACAAATACAGATTTTATGGAAGATGAAACTCCATAAACCAATACAAAATCCATAAAATCACAAGGCAGGTGCCTTACTCCAGGGGTTTCAAAAACGGGACTAACAGGAAGAAAATATTTGATCATCTAGTCATATTTTTTTATCTCATTCATTCAAAAATTCCTTTTCTGTGTATGTTTGATAACATACACAACAGTATGGTAGTACATAATTTATATAAGTATATAACGGAGATGGTTGCTCAATTATTTTTATATGTGGTATTAGGAGACCACTAATAAAATCTATACATTTCAGTACCATCAAGTGAACAGTAACTCCAGGATAACACAAAAACCCACTAGTACAATTTGAATCCAGGAGTAAGAAACCTTTCAGCTTTCACAAAAAAGCTAATTGATGTCAACTAAGAAGTGACTAAAAGGATCTCTTCTTACCCTTACTCTCCTTACTTTTCTTGTTTGTTTTTAAGCTCGGTTTTCAGCTTCAGCTAAATCAGCCTGGTTTGTCCAAGATTCCCAGGATGATGTGACCAAAACATTTAATGGGAAAACTACTTGTGAAACCACAAATTAGTTGTCACTAATCAAGATATTCCCTTAATTCACCCTAAAAGAAACTACTCTTTCCTTTCAGGAAAATAATAATCTAAGTGGTTTTCAAAGCTACCAAGATTCCCAAAAGGCACAAAACAGCTTCTGTGATTGAGAGTGTCACCCAGTGGTGATACCAAGAGATGCAGGGTCCATCCGCGATATGAAATGGGGCAGAGATAATCCTAACCTTAGAAATATTTTTCCAAAATACTTCAGTTACAAGTGAGTTATCTCTCGGGCGGGCGGAAATGGCCGACGAAGAACCGCGTGAGAGAACTCGAAAAACTTACATCTGAGCTATCTGTGCCTTTACTAACTCTTAAGGTCTCTTAAATCCCAGGTTTCTATGGGGAAGCCTATCTTCTGAGGCCTCTCCTCAGATTTCAAAGCCCCCCCCTTCCCATGGGGGTAACCCCATCTAAAGAAAGGGAGTTAAAAGTATTTTCTAGATCATGTTCGAGACCTAGATAGATGGAAATACACAAAGGTGCCAACATCTGCTAACGGGAACCTCAGCTTGGGACAATAACTAGGAAAGCAGCAACCCAGGGAAGAAAAAGGGGTCATGGGTCCGGCAAGGGGCAAAGAGAAGAGGACCACTGACGTAATGCAGCTCTGACGAGAAACGAGGGAGAACAGGTTGAAGGCTCTTACACAGCCTGGTGAAGAAGTGACGGGCGACACAACAATGCCGAAGGGAGCCGAAATAACAAGTACAGATACTGTAAAGCCATGAGAAGCATGGGAAATTGGGGAAGGCGTAGTGGGGAAGAAGGGAGACACAAAAGAAAAGAACTACGGCGAGAGCCGGGAAAAAAGTGGAAAAGCCTGAAAGGAGAACACGTAGGAAAAGGCACAGGCCACGCGGCAGAATTCAGTCACCAGAACAGTCTAAGTCAGCCCTTTCTCCCCTTCACGGTACCTTCAGCTTATGGAGCTCCACCGTCTCCGCCGCCATCTTGTTACCCCTCCACTCCACTAGGCCCCACCCGCTGCCTCCGCCTCCCAGGAACTCCCGCCTAGGCGCAGACAACCAGAAACAACCAATCACTGCCATTCTTACTACCATCTCATACTATCAACTATTCCCATTAGTCAGTAGCTGGCGTCCCTCTCACGCCTCTAGGCAGCTTTCCCCACCTCTCTGAAAAGGTGGGGCAGGAAGAGGGGCGGGTTCTGCACCTTCCAAACGACGGAAACGACGACCAATTGTGCGTCCCCATTGCAGATCGCCAACCAATGCGTGGCGGCAGCGCTAATTCTGTTTCACCAATAGGGAGAGTGCAGATAGGCGAGGGCGGCTGCTTCCTGGAGACCGCGGGTGTAGAAGCGAGCGCCGGCCCCCTTAGCGGATGAGCTCCTGAAGCTGGCAGGTAGGGGCTACTGAGAGACTGGCAAGGGGTGCTGAGGGAAAATGGTGGGAAGTGAAGGGGGGAAACGGGGGTGGAGCGGCGGCGAGTTAAATACTCAGAGAGGAGCGCTGTGGAGAGCCGACGAACGAGAGGGAAGCTGGGAGGAGCATGGGGCAGGTTCAATACTAGGGCTTAATGAATTTGAGAAAAGGGTGGGCAAGAGCTGCTTCCTAACTAGGCATCAACTTTAGAGCTAGCACGATTTTATAGAGCCAAGTTCAAGACGATCAGAGCTGCCCTTGGATTCGGAGCTAGGGCTCCATCTCTCGAGGCGCCTCAACTCAGGTATCTTCCTAGCTCAATCCAAAAACCCTGGACAAATTCTTGCAGCGCCCCGTGCATGAGAGGAATTCGGATGCTGGCTGCTTACATGCCACGGGGATGAGAGACAGGACAGGCAAGCCCCAGAGGAAAGGTGGGGATTAGAAGTAGCTTTACCTCTTCACCCCTCCTTAGTAATTCCTTGATTATTTCCCAAGACCCTCTTCTGGAATTCTGGGTGTATGTAACCTCTTCATGATTCCTTATTAACATCTTCAGGAAAGTAAAGTGAGATACTTCTGTTGCCTTTGTTCCTTGATGCAGGTGCCCCAAGCCTAGGCTTACTCCTTCAAGTTACAGTTGAGTGTAAGGATCACAGTCAAGATTAGGATAATGTCTCTAAGATGTACTCTCTTCTTGCCTTTTAAGTTTGTCTCCCCCACCCCCCCGCATCTTCAGGTTTTCCTTTGTGCGTAATGGGGATGTTCTTTCATTCCCAATATAGTTCAGGGGATTTGGGCTATTCAGGAAACAGTATGGGGGAACAAACTTAAAGAGTACTTAAGAGGAAATTGAGGTGGACTCCTACCTGATCCCCTACTATGGTAGGATGAATGTGGGGGTAGCACACAGCGAAGTAAACCCCAACACTCGAGTGATGAATAGTCGGGGCATCTGGCTGGCCTACATCATCTTGGTAGGACTGCTGCATGTGGTTCTACTCAGCATCCCCTTCTTCAGCATTCCTGTTGTCTGGACCCTGACCAACGTCATCCATAACTTGGTGAGCACTAAACCACACCCTTATACCCACCCCAGGCCTTTCCCAACCAAAAACAAGAAAATCCCCAATTATTTGCAATTATGTCTTCCTTTTGGGATCTTAGCATAATTCTTGGGCTATAGGACTATATTCTGCCTCTTCACACTGCCCCCTTCCTTCCTCCCAGGCTATGTATGTCTTCCTACATACGGTGAAAGGTACACCCTTTGAGACCCCTGACCAAGGAAAGGCCCGGCTACTGACACACTGGGAACAGATGGACTACGGGCTCCAATTTACCTCTTCCCGCAAATTCCTCAGCATCTCTCCTATTATACTGTGAGTCCAAGGGGAGATATGGGAGATACTCCAAGAGCCAGGTACAAAGGCCCAGAGGGAAGCTTTAAAAAAAGCAGACTATACTCATTTAGACCTTTTGAAGATATGTCATACTAGTTCTAAATCTAGGGAATACAGTAAAAAATAAAAGGCTGTAATCAAGCATTCCTTGCTTCCTTGTTGGTGTTGGAGAATGGACTGAGAAAACCAAGTAAAACCAAATGACTTTACACTTCAAAAGAAGTGAATAAATCAAGACAGAATTGATGTAAATCTGTGAAAACTCACTATGGGGAGTAGAAGCAAAGAGGACTCGTTTAACAGTCATACAGGCTGAAACTGCTTCAGTTGTCATTTGCGGCAAGTCATTAACAATTAGAAAACACACAAACTAACTTACAGATCTCCAGTTAAAGGTGCTACCTGATTTATCTCCCCAGTAAATACTGTTGATATTAGCTGGAGTATTTTCAGATACCCTAGGACTACATGCAGTAAAACTGGAAAGGCATGAATATGGATAAGGAAGACCAACTTCACTCAACCTGTGTCTTCTCTCCCCAGCTACCTCCTAGCCAGCTTCTACACCAAGTATGATGCTGCTCACTTCCTCATCAACACAGCCTCATTGCTCAGCGTACTGCTGCCTAAGTTGCCCCAATTCCATGGGGTTCGTCTCTTTGGCATCAATAAATACTGAGGGATGGGGCTGGGGACGACATTGGAACAAAAGGCTACAACATCCTTCCCTTCTCCATACTGTCTTCTGTATCATGAAAGCCTGGGAACTATATAACCTTTCCCAAACTCCCAGGAAGAGAACAGATTGGGAAATGGGGCTCAGCTCTGCTAGGAGCAGGCTTCTTTGAATCAAGGAAGTCAGTGAGGTAAGAGACAAATCACTCTCCTCCACAACAGGAAGCCATGTTTCGGCAGCTTGTTTGGTGATTTAAGTATTTCTATATCTTCCACCCTTACCACCTTCCAGCTCTGTTTTGCTGTGTGTTTTCCTTATAATAAAGAGAATTCTTTTTTTTCAGATATGGCTATGATTTGGTCAGCAGGAAGGGTAGGGAGATGTCCTCATAAGGCTGGGGAAAAAAGATGGAAAGTAGATATAGTCCAGTAGGAGGTGCCTTCACTCTCAGCTAACACTTAGTAGAGAAAGATTCTCAAATGAGAAAAAGAACTCCAGCTATCTGGGCAAAGAAAAGAGGGAAGATACAGGTTGCCAGTTATATATTTATAGAAAGATAATCCCCTGGCTTTAAATAGATATGTACATACAAATATGAACAAACTTAAAAAAATACAAACCCTTGGATCATAAGGGGGCTGCCAGGAGCCCCTTATCCTTCCCCCTCACTCAAGGGCAAAGGGCATGAGTCTGCTTTTTAAAAATTATTAGTTTTGGCCATCCCTGCAGCAACAAGCATGAAGTTGGGTAATTACCCACAAGGTGAAAGTCAGAGGAAAATTTCAGAGTTCCCACTCTCTGAACTCTTATCTCCTATAATTAGGGCTACATGCTTTCTTGTTCTGTCTTTTAACTAGTATATTGGGGTAAAGGAGGGGGCTCCCTCCTGAAATGGTTCAAGAAATAAGATAGACTCGTAGTTTAAAAAGAGAGGGGAAGTGTCATCTGCTGTAGAAGCAAAAGATGACAAAGGCATACAGACCCTAAGGAAATACTGAGTTCCCACACTACTATGGGAGCTATTATCCAGCCCAGGTCCATGCCCTGGGTTCTTTGCTCTAGCCACCCTCTATTTCTTTGGTATTGTCAGAAGACAAGGTTCAGTTCCTGGGTGCTGGTGGAGGAGGGAGAGTGGTTCCGGGGCTTCCTACAAGTAGAGTGAACAATTTGAGCTTAAAATTTTCCTTTTGAAATATTTAAAAATAAACAAATCAAACTCCATCCTGTGCTGTACACAGCCCTTTTGACTCCCTGACACTGATTTGAGGAGAGAAGAGAAGGGGTGTCAACGTTGGAACGGCCTCCTCACTTTCTTCCGCCTCTTCGGTTTGGCTTCTCCCTTGGGTACTGTGCTGTTAGGCTTGGAGGCTGTGGTGCCCCCAGAACCACGCTGAGGAGCTGCAAAGAAGTTCCCATTGGACATCTGTCCTGGGGGTACTTGAAAAATCCGGCTCAAGAAATCCTGAAGGTCTGCAGGAGGGGCATCTGGGGTGGCTCTGAGTGGAAAACAGAAGAATAATGAGGCAAGCGAGATTAAGAGTCAAATGGTTACCTATGTTACCTATTTATACCTAAGTTAACAATATGTCGAGTCAGTCGCAAACTTCTTAAAGGGTGAAACATCTGTGTGTCCTAAACAGCATGTCATCTGAAACCATATTCAGAACTAGAATAGTGGAGATTATTGAAAGAAATACCACCTACCTCTGTCGCCCACTGGTGGCTGGGATCCGAGAACCAAATGAGATGTGATAGGGGACCCTGTGGGTATCTGGGGAGATTCCCACACGCTGGCATCCAGCCCACTCTGCAAGCATGAGAAATAATTAGCCAATACATCACAGTTTTGAGCAAACATGAGTCTGGATTTCTAGAGGACAGAAGTGTACCTGTGATGTCATACACCTTTCCATCCATCAGCGCAAAGTAGGTGATCTTCAGGCCCAACATGCTTGACTCTGCCCAAAAGTCTCCTTCTTCAGCGGGATGCAGCCTATTACACTCAGCACAGTATCTGGCACTCTTAGGTTCCCGGTCCATTTCAAACCTCCTACAACCCAACAAAAGGACAACTCCTTAATAATTTGTCAAGCCTGTGACACTGCCGTAGTCTCATTACAAATGTGGCTGAAACATCTAAAATGATCGATCACACAGTTGTTAACATATGCTACATACACCCTTACCTCAATCTTCTATCTTAAAGCTAAAAATATCTTTTTTTCTTACTGCTAATTCAAATCCCTAATCTCTTGACAGTATAGCAGAAGTGGAAACCAAAGGGTCTTTTTACTCACCATCTGAATCTCACAACTACCAATAATACTCACAGGGAAGGTCTTTGGTTACCCAATCCCTAGGCTGTAGCTATCCCACTCCTGTCCTATTTCATACCTATGCTTTCCCTGGCATCGGCTGCACATCATAGTATTCATTGCCTCTTTGAGGTCATCCTGCAGCTTGGACAGAAACTCATTCACTGACCGGCTCAGCTCATTCTCTGCCATTCGTTTCCTAAGAGAAGAAAGGCTTTGTAAATCAGAGGGTATTGAGCAAGGGACAAAGGGAGACAGATGTATTGGCCTCTTGAGGCCACTAGCTAGCTACAAAGACAAGCAACCTCAGTTCTCTTCACCTCAGAGAGCCTCCAGGCACAAGTCCAGGGACCCTCTGCTATTGAAGATTATTCATTTACCCCACCTGATAAATTTCCATCTCCAACTTACATCTCATATTCCTTCCGCCTTTCAGGGTTGCTGACAATGTCCCAAGCTGCCCGCAAAACCTTGAAGGCCTCCTCAGCCCTGGGATGATGATTTTTATCAGGATGAACCTACCAACACAAAGATTTCATCACAAATCCATTCCAACCCTCCCCCCATCTTGGGTCAAAATGACCTGATGTCAAAGGGTTGGTTGTCTTTCACCACCCTTTTGGAGAGTCAGTATAACTTAATGATTAATTGTCCTGACTGCAGAGAGATCTCAGTTCCTAAGTCCCAGCTCTGTGATTATTACCTATATGACCTAGAATATTTTGTCAAGGTTTATTGGGAGTATTAAATGAGAATACATGTGAAGTATTTAGCACAGAATCTGGCACCACAGTGATCCACCATCCCTGTGTGCCTGGGATTGTTCCAGCTTCAGCATCGAAGTTCGTGTGTCAAGAAACCCCTCAATCCTAAGCAGAGATGGCTGGTCACCCTACCTGGCACATGCATACTAAGCCCTCACATTTTATTGTCAGTCATAAAGTAAGAGTTCCAAAGATATTACATCCTCAAATTCATTCTTTTCTATAACTGGAAAATTCTCATATCCAAAACTTTCTATAATAGTTTATCTTTCTGATCCAGAAATGAAATAGCATATCATGATCCTCACAGGCTTTTTATCCATTTTTCAGCCTTCTCTCCAAGACAAATAGCTCCCTAGTGGTCTAGTGGCTAGGATTCGGCACTTTCCATGACAAGTAACAGTCTCTCTTCCTACAGCTTCCTGGCTGTTCCCATCCTCATTCCCCCACAATACAGAGATAAAGCTAGTCTGATGCCAAATAAGCAGAATACTGTTAAATCTCCCATATTCCCAAGCTTATTGAACAGCCTTTTAGTCATGGTCTCTCTGGGGTCTAATGAGGGCAGTGAGAGGTTCTATAAAAGAAGCCCACAGACAGTCTGCCCAGAACAAGGGAGAATTTTGAACTTCAGAGTATGGGCCAGGTGTGTTGAGGATCAGGGAACTTCGCATCATCTCTATTTTAAGAAAGTTGAAAATGAGAATTTTTTTTAAGAATGATATTCCCCAAGGGAAGATGTCTGCTAAAAGACATGAAGGTGAGAAAAAAGATCTATCGGTCATAATTTTGAGTGTAAGCAGTTGTTCCCCACTCTAAGAATATCCCTGGCTATCCACTAAGGGGCATGCATTTCCCACCAAAGTAATTTAGTCCTCTGGTAAGTTACAGGCCTGGTACTTTATTGTGCTTTTAACAGTTAATGGGAACCATGGTTGCCCATCCTCTTTGGTGTCATGCAACCATTGAGGTAATTTGCACACTGATAGTTTACCAGTCCAGTTCCATATATTCGGCCAAAACAAGCCTCCGGTGCAATTTACACACACTTTTTACATACATAATATAATTTTACTTGTATAGAAATAACAATAACAATCATCTAAAAATGGCAACCTAGTATCAACTAAAAGCAATTTGATTTCATGCTTGTATTAAAATCATTTCCCTCAAGCATGTGGTGTGTTACAACTCCCACCTGTAACTCTTTTTATCAATTAAAGCAACCATATTTTCATGTATGACATAACATATGCACATGTCTCCCTGTGATTTATGTTCCATTCTCCTTCCCCTTTCCCACTCTGGGTTGCTGATCTTGAAATAGCTTGTTTTCTTTCACCTTGTCCTGGAATAATCACTCACATGCACTACCTGAACCCTCCCACACTAGGTCCACACTTGCCATTCTGGGACAGGTAGAGGTATTTTCCCATGTTCAAACAATCCTCAGTTGTTCAGGAAGAGGAACTGACAGGCTTTCTGACTAGGCCTCTTCTCCACCCTAGTCAGAGGGACTTCATCAGGACATTTTGGGGTAAGTCCAACACTGCCTGATATATCAGGTTCATTTCTTTTCATTCAGAAAAAGAATCTCATGACAACTTAAAATGAAGGGAAAGTCTTTATGACTCTTTCCTAAGAATTAAAATTCTCTTCAGCTTCAAGTTGACTTTCTTCTCTGCCTTCTCTTTATTCTACTCTCCCGAAAATTAAAATATAAAATAAAATATGGGAACAAAAGAGGGACAGGACAGAGGGCAAGGATACTCACCATCACTGCCAGCTGCCTATATGCCTTCTTCAGTTCAATTTCTGATGCTGTGGCTTCAACCCCCAACACATGGAAGGGGTTTAGCTCATCTTCAGGAACCCCAGCCATGGTCAAGAGTCGAGCCACTTCTTCTTCAGGCTGGCAGTAGCGACCACTAGCTACAGGTGCATTCTCCTGCCTGTTAGTCCTCTGTTTGACCCAAGGCAACTCCAGCCAACCCCATTGGACCTTTCTTACCAGCTGCTGCCATGGCCTGCTATCTCTCAGCAGAATCAGGCAACGCTGCAAGGTGGGAGAATCCAGCCAAGAAAAGAGCCAGGTGGCTTTACCCCTCCAACCTAACCGGTTGCCCAGTCCCACCAGAAACCGCCACCCCAACTGCAGACAGCCCAACAAGAGGGCCAGAGCCAGGAGCAGCAAAGCACCTAGTAGCCTAAGAAAACGGATGAATAGCCCTGCCCCATAGCAAAATCGCTCACTCAGAAACTGGAACACCACCTGGGCCCAGCCGCCCAGCCGCCCTGCCCAGACTCCCACCCAGACTCGAAAAAGGTCCAGATCGCTGCCTTTCAGCTGCCTGCATGCATAGATGAGATGGCCACAAGTTTCCACGTACTCTCCCACCAATACCAGCAGTTCAATCAGCCACCAGAAGCCTGCCTGTCCAAGCTGACACAGCTCCTCTGCTCCCCACAATCCTAGGCCTCTGCGCTTATCTGCCTGACTTCGTTTTCGGCCCAGCCGATGTCGACCAGAGGACCTGGGATCTCTGCGTCCACCCTCCCGAGTTTCCTCCTTGGCTGGAATGCGGTGCCGCTGTCTCCGGAGTGGAGGTTTCTTTCCACTGGGCACACGTGAAAACTCACTGGGGAACTTGGGTTCCTCATCATCATATTCCTCTTCCAACTCTTCATCTTCCCCCAAAGCTGGAGAGGTACAATGGTGGCAAAAGTTGCTAGAAGAGCTATCGCCTCTCTCAGAGTAAGGCCCTTCAGGGATTCCAGGGGTTCCCTGGCAGTTGCAAGCAGATGGAATGGAAAGAAAAGAATGGTTCCCATCCTCGTGGTACGCAGCCTCCTTCTCTCTTGAGAGTTCCTGGTCCACTCCTGACTCTTCTTCTGAAGATGCCTCACTCTGATCAGGGTCCTCTCCATCTCTAGGGGGTCCTGGACCCCTTGGGGGACCATGGCTTGGATCCGACCAGTGGGCTGGGTTAGGGAGCTGTGTGTACTTAGGACTAGAGTGATCTGTGAGGCAGCGGGTACCATTAGGAGCAGGCCCCGCTGAGTCCCTGAGTCCTGAGAATGAAAGTATTTCAGGGTCCACAGAGGGCCCTAAAGTCCTGAGGGAGGGACCACCACTGTGGTGGGCTCCACACCACCCTCCTTCTCCGGGGTGCTTCTGGGCCATGACCCCGGATCTTCCTGAGGATTTTAGGTCACAGCCATCATGGTGAGTTCAGATGCCTGTAACAAAGGTAGATAACAAGGTGGGGATGATCAAGGATAGGACCAAGAAAGGGGTTAAATAATCTTAAATTAGGGATATATTTAATGCATCCACCCTAGTTTTCCCAAGTTCTTTGGGGGCATTCATTATCCCTAACAATAAGCCAATACTACATTAACCACAACATTGCTCCCTACCCCCTCCGCCAAATCCCCTTAGTTTTTCTTCTCTTCCCAGAAAGATATAATCCTGAATCAGGGAAAGAGGGAGGTACGGCACAGGGTGTGGTCCTGGGGTCACTCTTGGGAATACGGGAAAGACGACCGGCAAGGGGGGCCACAAGCTGCCATAAAAGGGTGGCGACCGTGCGGCCCTCAAGGAAAACCTGGGGAGAAGCTTGGGGTTGCCCCTGAAACAGACATCTACGGCTGGATAGAAAGGGTGAAGGTAACGTACCGAAGAGCGGCGGTAACTCCTCCCCCTGGAAAGGCTGGGACCAGGGCCAGGGGGAGCTACGAGAGCAGCTCCCCCGGCTCCGCCTCCCGCTCACGCTCCGCTTCCGCCTTCCGTCCCCGCTGAGACCGCCGACCTGTGCCTACTTCCACTTCCGGGGTCACCAGGGAAGAGACGGGAAGGAAAAGGAAAAGCGGTTGGCGGAGGCGCCAGCCAGTGTGGCGAGCGCAGAGTCAAATCAAAGGAGGTGGTCCTGGGGACCACGGGCCCCGCCCCTTAAAGAGCCCTCTGCTGCCGCCCGTGCACCGCTGGAAGTGAAGCAAACGGGCACTGCAGCAGTGCCTGCGGACTGGGGGCAGATTCTCAGGGTTCCTCTGGCTGGATTCTTGGGCTTTGCCGAGACTGGGAGGACAGCCACCGAGGCATAGTCTGTTTCCCTTGCAGACAAAACCAGGAAGCGTAGAAGGACCACCTCCCTGATCTCTTCCCTGCTGGCTGTAGCAAGAACAGAGGCCCTTTTGTATCATGCGGAGGTGGAGCGAAGGGAGCACGCCCCGGGCTAGCCCCCGCCCTGGCCCCCCTAACGCAGCCCCTTATTTCCCAGCAAACCTCGGCCTCCCCAGCTCCTGACCCAGCTGGCGAACTGCCCCGTAGAACTAACTAACTGCAGCTCCCACGACCCGGATCCGCCCCTCTGGATTCAGCTCCCAGGCCCCGTCACCAAGCGGGGCCCGGGCTCTGGGAGCATAGCTCCGCTGGGCTCAGGACCTGAGCAGAGTGCCAAAAAAACACTGCACTCATCTGCATGCTGCTTTACATCTCGTTTGCATACCGAGCTGTTCGGTCGACGTCGACACGCGCCCCCGCCCCCACGCAGACCCGGCTTGGGTCCCCTCTCTGTTGGTCCCCTCTTCTGCACACGCCTCTCTCGTTAGTCCCCCTTCCAGATTCCGTCTTGCTCCGCAAGTTTGTTCACCCATGAACCCCTCGCCGGCGCCCCTAGAGCAGTAAGAGCCCCTTCCCCGAATCCCCAGTTCCGACCACCGGGTTCTCCAGAAGACAATACTCCAATTCTCTGGGAAGTGGGAGAAACCAAGCCAGAGCTAGGGGGGCGTTGGGACCCCAGTTGGGGCTTTGCGAGCTGCTTCCCAGTTGTCGAGTCATCGCCTAAGTATTCAAAGGCTTTCTCCAAACCTCTTGCCGTGCCCCCAGAACCCTCCTATGGTTAGGGGGCCTCTGGTCCCAGCTTAGAGCAGTAGGCAAACTGGGTCCCCCACACACAGGGGAAAGAGTTGGAGGGCCCGCCCCGTGATGTCACCCCACACACACACACCCTGTCCCCTTCCTCCACCCCCCAAGCTGGTTGCATTTAGCTCACGGGGCTTAGGCTACGACTTGCAAGAGTTTAGGGGCAACGTACAGAGTGGCCCTGGAGGTGCCCACGCTCGACAGCCGCCCCGACTTCTAGGACCTCCGGGCAGGGATGCAGCTGGGGGTCTAGGGAAGCACTTCTACCCTCTTCCTCTCCTCAGCCCTGGCAGGGTGGTGAGTAGTTAACACCCCCTCCCCAACCTCCCCTTGTTTAGGGTCCCCAGACTTCCAAGAGGATTGAGGAGAGGAGCCCCAGGGATTCTCCAAGCCAACCTTCCAGCCTGTTAGGACCTTGATGTCCAAAAGAAGACAGCTGAAGGAAAGTGCTTGCATCCAACCTACCTCACTCCCACAGTGCTCTCAATGCCAGCCCCTCCTTGGTGTTCTCCTTTCAGGAACGGAATTCAAATCTCACTGGCAACCCTGACACCCCTGGGGAAAGGGAGGGGTAGGAAAAGGCCTACCAGTGTCCCGAGAGGAGGAGAAAGAGGCTACCAAGATGTGAGATGTCTGTGGGCAAGGTGCCTGCTTATTATGAGGGGCCAATAGAGTAGGTCTGTGGCTGGATGCCCCTTCCCCCAACAATTCCATCCCCGCGTGAAGCTGAGGCTTCAAAACCCTGACAGATATGGGTGACTGTGTCTACTTGATTCCTTGTCTCAAACTCTTTTGGTGTCTTTTTTTCCCTTTCCTTCCCTGGGGTTGGAGCAGCTGTTGGGAGACCCCACCATGACTCATTCTCCTCATTCTCTCCTCTTTCTTCTCCTTCTCCCCCCTCTATTAACCCCACCCTTCCCAGTCCAGTGGAGTAGCATTGAGTCCCAGCTGCAGATGAGGCAAGCTTTCTTTTCTGCTGAAACAGGCTGCTGGCCCTTAGACCCCAGTCCCACTAGTGCCGTGGGCCCCTCCCTCCACAGACCTAGGATTTCCTACTCCTCCCACCCCACCCTGAAAAGCTAGGGGACAAAGTCTCCTTACCTTTTAAGATTTTCATTTAAGTTTTACTTAGTGCCCTTATTTCAGAGGGTAGTAAAGAGACAGCTGGCTCCCCTCCACCCAATCCCATAGATTTCTTCAGTTACCCCAGCAAAGCTATGCTCCCTCCTGAAATTGACCTTTCTTAAAAAAAAAAATAAAAATAGAGATACAGAGTCCTCAAGATTCATGGGCACCTGAGCTCCTGCCCCCTACCCACTTGCAGGTTTCCCAACCCCCTCAAGATATTCATGGATGGATGAGAGGAGCTGACGCTGACCTTCCCCTCTGTGACCACCTTCTCATCGGCCATGGAGGAAACTTTGCTGCCGCTGGCCATGACCTCTGACCCCAGGCCTTTTAATCAACAACTCCCAGAGCCTCCAGACCCAAGATGTGTCTTGGAACCCCAGGACAATCCTGAATTGGCACCTGCCCTGGTGTGTGCTCTTTGCTGCTGCTTTGGAATCATCTACTGCTGCTTCGGTGAGGGCAGGGCCAGGGTGTTGGGGGGCAGTGGCCCAAGACTGTCACCCTCAAGGATGATGTTAACTTTCTCCTTTGCTCTTGGGCCACCTCTACTCTTCTGTCAGGGGATGCCTACCTTCAGTATGGCCCATGCTGCTCCTGCCAGCTCTTCCTGTCCATCACGCCCATGCCCTCAAGCTCTGTCCCCTGGCACTCTCACTTACTTGCCTTCCCCTTCCATCCTACCTCAAAATCCCATTCCCAAATTATCATCTATGCTTAAGGCTTCTTCACCCTTCCCCAATAACCTGAAGCAGCCTATGCTGATTTCTTCCCATCTACTATCCCTTGGAAGGACTAGACCTTCTTTCTCTACTTACTAACCTCAGTGCATCCATCTTACCTCCTGATTTTCCTTCCTATCCCCTCACATTCCTGAAAAGCCTGCCCTCCCTGAGGTTATCATTTTCTGCTCCTTGCCTTAAGGTCCCTGGGTGCTGCTCCTCTGCTTAGCCATTCCTCTCCCTTCTCATTCATCAGAGCCATGTGGATCCACCCCCTCTTCTGTCTCTCAGTGCCTCCTGCCTCCCTTCCCAGGCTACCGCTGCTTCAAGGCAGTGATGTTTCTCTCGGGCCTACTATCAGGAGCTCTGGTGATCTTCCTGCTATGCCACAAGGAGCGAGTGCTAGAAACACAGCTGAGCCTGGAGGTGAGCGCCGGCATTGCGCTAGGCATCGGACTCCTCTGCGGCCTGGTCACCATGCTGGTTCGCAGTGTTGGGCTCTTCCTGACTGGTCTCCTATTAGGCCTAACCCTGGGCACCGGGGCTCTGCTGGGCACCGAGCCCATCTACCAACCGCCTTCAGCCTGGGTGCCGGCCGGGGGACTGGTGGGGCTAGCACTGCTGGGAGCTCTGCTCACGCTTCGGTGGCCACGTCCATTCACAGTTCTGGGCACAGCCTTGCTGGGTGCTGCAGTGCTGGTGGCCTGTGCTGACTACTTCCTGGAAGGGCTGGCACTGGGCAGTCGGTTGGGCCAACGTTTGCAGGCACTTCCAGCCTTGCCTCCTCTCTGCTGGTATAGCTGGGTCTTGCTGGGGACCTGGCCAGCCCTGGGGGCCCTTGGGGCCTTGGCCCAGTGGAAGCTCATGGATGAGGAACATGGAGGCCACGCCAACGGTGAGTTAGTGCCATGGTACAGAAGCAGCTAGCCTGTGCCTTCTTACGTCCCTGGTTCCCAGACATGAGGAGGAGAAGGAAGAAAATACACTTGAGGGAAAAGGGCAGAGGTGTCTAAGGTGACTGGGGCACAGTATTGAAAGGAAGTTAGAGTTGGAGGAGCCAAAAATCTGGATGAGAATAAGAAGAGAAATTGTCAGGAAGAGCAGGGAAGAGTTATTGGGGACTATTGTAGAAGAAGAGAAAGATCTCAGAGAAGTCCAGGAGGAGAGAGTAGGAATATTCTAAAAGGGCTTCTTTTAGAAGAACTGGGGAGGAAGATGAAGTTTGATAGAGCCAAAAAAGGGAAATCAAATGGGTTTCTCTAGAGTGTGAGTGTGTTTAGGGGTGGGATTTGGGCTCTAAAGAGGCCTCCCTGAGTGTGTATTGCTCCCTCCCAAGCAGTGGTCTTGAGCCACCAGCGAAGGCATCTCCAACTCCTTCGGATCCGTCAGCAAGAGGCCAAGTGGCATCGGACCTCCCCTGGTGTGGGACTCTGTGAGGGCAGCTACCGGCGCCAGCTTTCCCCCAACACCCGGAACCCTGCTGATGGTCTGGCTCCAGTGAGTGGTAGTGGTGGGGGAGACACTCTGGGGGATGGGGCGGAAGGCACATGGGGATGGTCAGAGTGGGAGGGGAACTCTGACCCAGGCCCTTCCTTGCCCTCGCTGCCCTGTGTCCCTCCAGAGCTATCTCCAGAGCCTTCGAGAGCACCAACTGGGACCAGGCAGCCAGGCCACAGCCCCCCACATTGTCCTGGACCTGGATTCTGATTGTGGTTCCACTGTACCCCTCACCACGCCTTCTGGTTCCACCGAGACCTGAGCCTAAACCTCCACTATTGCCCCCACCCCTAGCAACACTAGGCCTGAGAGCACTAGGTGGGCATGGCTTGAGCCCACAGGACCCACACACAAACTTCCCCACCTCTTGGACTTGGGGATAAAATCTGTGTTCCAACCTAGACCAGCCCTGTAGGGATAGGTTCCAGGGACAGATAGAGAGAAATCTTGTGGGGAGGGGAGAAGAATATAAGTATGAGCAGCTACTAGCTACCTCTGCCTAACACTAGAGGTGCCTCGGTCTCTAAAGCAACTGATGCCCTAATTCCCTCCAAACCAAGGGGGCCCTTACCCAAATAGCCTTTTATATACCTGACTCAGTGTGCCTCACTGGTAAAATAAGGGGTTTTGTTTTTATAGGAGCTATAGAAAATCAGGAAGCCGCCTAAAGCACTTGATAGCTTTTTGATGGAGAGAAGGGCACCGAGGTGCTCCAGGATCCCCCAATCCCCAGGATCCTTATTAGGGGGTAGCTGGGTTCCTGATTAGCCTTATCCCCCTGACCCCATAGGCTCAAGCTTCCTTCTCCTACCTCAATTGGGGGTACTATCCTCAACGGTGCTTCCCTTTCCCTCCTTGATGTGGGGAAGACCATGGGGCAGTGCCTGGCTCAGCCCCCACTTCCCCCAAAAGCTGGCTTCTTGCTCTAAGGAGAGCATTGGCCCACATGCCAGAGTCTTGCCCTGTTGCCCAAAAGAGCCTGGTCTTTCGGGTTGAGTGGGAGACAAGTGCCTTCTCTGCCTCTTATTGTAGGTGATGCTAATTTCCTCAACCAGAACTTTGTCCCAGCCACTAACCCATTCTAACTCTCCCCACTCTGATTCTCCTGCCCACAGTTGGTTCCCTGGTTCCCCAGACAGCATGAAGGAAAATATATCCCTCCCCTGGGCAGCAGGCTATGATGGATGGGAGGAAGAACATGGGGCATGTGAATAAAATGGCATTGAACAGTGAATCAGGGAGTCCGGCCTCTACTGTTGCTGCTCTTTTCTTTCTTTGCACCCCAAAACAATAAGTTAGCCATACTGACAAGTCTGTCCAATAAAGATCTGATAAGGGTTTCTTTAACAGACTGGGCTACTGTAGGAGCTATACACGCCTAGCCAGAGGAAGAACTGTTCAGTCTTCCCTTACGAACGTGGAGTTGCCCTTGATTAAGCACAAATGTTGGAGACGCTGTGCCAGGCACTTCACATACAGTATTTCATTTAATGTAACAACCCTGCAGGAGTGGTATTAACCTTATTTTGCAGATAGGGACTCCAACACTCAAGAAGGTTAATAAACTTGCTCAAGTCATAAACAAGCAAATGTGATTCTCAAGAATTCCAAAGCCCTTGGTTTTACTGGCCATGCTGTTTTCTTGTACTTTATTTGGGAAGATCAGGATCTAGGCATTCAGCTTCCCAGCTGCTGCCTCCTGTCAGCTAAAGGCCTGATTGAGAGCTCTCTGTCCTCTAGAGAGTAGATAACACAGTTGGAAGAGCTGCCTAGGACCGGAAAGAAATGGATAGAGTTGGGAGCTGACCCAGAGATAGGGAGTCACTACCCAGGAAGGAAAGAGCACAAGGGAGTGGTGGCTAGAGATGGGACATTTAGAGGCCTAAGGTTTGTAGTCCATGCCTCTGCCTACAGTCTAGTGAGCAGACATTAGGTTCAGGTCTTAGGCCTCTTGGAGGGTGACATTACCAGAAAATGAAAGGGTGGTGTAGCCTGAGGCTGAGGAGGTCATATCCAAGATTGTGTCTCTGGGTGAGTGGTCAGTGTTTAAGGTGCTATCTATGGCTGAGGAAGTGGTATCCAAGGTTGTTCCTGTGGGTGAGTAGTCAGTGCCTGTAGCTGAGGGAGTGGTGTCCCCACCTGATGGGGCAGTGTCTGGGGTCTGAGAATAACAGTGCATCCAGTTGTGGGCTACATCTCTGGGATAGCCCTTCTCTACCCGAAGCTGCCGATTGAGACGCCAGTACTGTTTGCCCTTGAAGAAGTAGACGTGGCCATCCTGCCAACTCATAGCAGCTGAGGGCTGGTCTGGCACTCCTGTAAACAATTGCTTGATTGGTTTGGGGTAGTGGCTGAAGTCATTTCGGGCCAGCTCGTCCCACTGCCAGTACCCGGAGCCCTAGGTGTGGGATGGATAGGGAGAAGAGAATGAGGAGAGGCTTTAGGCATCCCAGAGATTTACCCTCAGCCCACTGCAGCTGCAAATCTCCCTTTAAGAGCAATTCTTGGCTTCTTGGTGTGAGTTGGCCTGCCCCTGCTAAGTGGGATTTGCCCTTGCTTTGAACTTTATACCTTAAAGAGGAACACCTTTTGGTTGACAGGCCAATAGAGAGCTGCATCCAGGTTAGGTTCTATTCTATTCAGCTTCTTGGGGAAGCCAGGCAATATCTTGAAATTAATGTAGCGCCACACTTTATCTCCTGAGAACATGTAAAGAAAGAACAAGTCACCTCTGTCCTCAGGGGATAGCTTTTGGTTCCTCCATTCCACCCTTGCAGAAATTTCTCATCTCTCTTTCACTTTTATGGCTTCTTTGATGGTAGGTCCTCCTCGGGTAAGACACTGTATGCTGGTCCCCTTACCCTTAAAGAAGTGAATCCATTGTGTTCGAGGAGAGTAGACGGCAGCATCCAGGTTTCCTGGGAGCCCCTCCCAAAGAGCAGACACTTGGAACAAGGGACCCAGCCCTGAATCTGTCACAGTCCACACATAGCTGCCCTTGAAGGCGTAGGTCTTCCCACGGGGTCCTGAGAGCAAAGGTATGTCAACAAGTTAAAAAAGGGTCAAGGGCGGCCGGTTAGCTCAGGTGATTAGAGCGCAGGCTCATAATACCAAGGTTGCCGATTCAATTCCCATATGGGCTGCGGAGCTGCGCCCTCCACAACTAGATTGAAGACAACTACTTGACTTGGAGCTAATGGGTCCTGGAAAAACACACTGTTCCCCAATAAAATTTCTTAAAAAAAATAGACGGGTCAAATAAAGACTTATAGGTATCTCAAGCAGGCTGGTAATTTGCCCTCCTCTCACAGGCTGATTCCTCAAAAATTCAGTCAAGAAAATTAAGGGAGCAGAGAAGGAGGACCAGTGTTCAGCCTCTCCTTTGTTGTTCAGGGTAATTCAGCACTGGTCCACTCAACAAAACAAAAGCCCTGCAGATAGCTGCTCCCCCTTTGGGGACCTCACTTTCCACTCCAAGTGGCTTCCAAGTTGTCCTTCCATGCAGGTATAATACCCTCTCTAATAGACATTCCAGTTAATATAGATTTCTCCATTTTGCTGTATTTTAAGATGTGTTTTAGTGGCACATATAGGGTAGCAACCAAGGTCAATGTCTGTCTGGCCCATCTTTAATTTGGCCCTGAACCCTCCCCTCCCCATGCCACATACCTCCTTCCATGACACTAACTCCTGCCTAGTGTCTAACCTCTATTACTCATGCTGAGGTCCCATGTCATTCTCATTTGTCCAAGTCTCAAGGTTAGCAGGCTGTTCCCACTGCTTGCCTACAGCCTGGAGGGGAAGGGCCTCACCCAGCATCATGGCATCCAGTTCAACACTGCAGGGATCAGGCATGGGACTGGGTTCTCTGGGCACTTGGGGTGTAGTGGGGAGCTCCATCTCTTCTTCCTCATCCTCTATTTCTGGGATCTTCTTGCCTGCAAGAAAAGAGAAAACTCATAGCACCTGACCTCTCCACTCTTCTTTAAGTTTGGCTCAGAGGTCCCATAGAGAGGGAGAAAGGGAATCCTAGAGAGTTTTCCTTGGTGGGAGACACAATTATATTGATATCAGCAGGAGACATGTTTTAGTTTTGAGAGGCACCAGAAAGGGGAAGGAGTTTTGCTGGAATCTTCATTCTTATCCCCAAGAATGGGTATGAAGGGAGAGATGCCCTGAAGGAGGATTAGATATGGAAGTGTCAGAAAAACAGTTCCTGAAAATAGAAGCCTGAATAACTGGGCAGGAGGAAGAGAAAATAGCCAAGCCATTTCCCTCCACAGAGCTTATACCTGCCTCTTCAAGCCTGAAGAGATGCTGATCAGACTGACCGTCATGATCACTAGGGGAGAGCACTGACCATAGAGAGCCTGGATCCCTGCCACATCATCCCGGTGCAGCTTGAAGTGGGGCCGGTAGCCAGCGTAGACAGGAGCCATGAGGGCCTGTGTATATCGGGAGTGCCCAAGCCCCAAGGCGTGGCCCAGTTCATGGGCTGCAATGATGCGCAGGTTTACCCCCCGGTAGGTTCCCTCAGTCCAAAGCTCATCTTCATCAAAATGCACACTGCCCAGCTCTGGGATGTCAGCATGTGCCAGCACTCTCCCTGGACAAAAGCAAAGGTGGACAAAAGGAGGTCAAAGTCTCCTAGGCTGGAGCTCTCCTGCCTGTTATAAATTCCAATTACTCCATTCCCTTAAAATACGCCATCTATAGTCACTGTCTCTTGGATGCCTCTCTTCTCCTTTCAGATTCCCTTATCATCACCCAGTTCTCCTAGGGATGCCCATTACCCCCATCACTTTACCTCCCAACCACTCTCTCCTCTCTGGCCCAGTCCTCTCTGGGGTGTGCATTGAGCCGGGGAACTTAAGCCGAGGAAGAAGGCATAACCTTAGAAGAGGAGGCTTGGTAAGTTCCCAGGGAGGTGACCAACTGCTTCCCAAAGGAATGTTAGAAGATGGTTGAGAGTGTAGGGTGGAGTTGGGCAGAGGGGACAGCCTGAATATTAAGGTGACAGAGTCCCTGGCTCAAGGGGACAGAGATAAAATCTCAGAGGTCTGTTTGGTGGGAGCTGAGAGCTGGTGCTTACCAGGTCCATCAAAGGTATTAGAGCAGTACGGGCTTTGGCGGCCATGGAAGGAAAGGCGGATGTCAGCCCAGCCAGCCTGCACTTCTCGGAAGGTTAAGGGGGCCACATTGCTCCAGTACTGGAAGGCTTGAAGCAGGGCTGCCCGGGCTGTGTGAGGTGGAAGGGTGGAGGGGGAGGGCATGTTTAAGATGCGGAAGGTCAGGTGCTTCTTTCTCCAGCGGCCTGGTTATTGGACCAGAAAATAGGTTAGAAACACAGATCCTTCGCCAACCCCAGAATTCACTCAGCAAAGCTATGTAACAACCCCTGTAGGCAAGGGATGATCAGGTAATCACCAGGTGATCATTCAGCACTATGCTAGTCCACATTGTCCCGATTCCATGCCACCCATGCCTATGCCTTCCTCTCCCAGGCTCAGTCCTTACCCAGGAGTCGGTATTTAAGGGTCTTCTGGTTGAAGGGATCCTCCAGGCCACAACGGGGCTGCCTCATACGGGCCCTGGTGGCACCATCTAGTTGACCTGAGACTGGCAGCTCAGATGCTTCCTGGAAAGCTCTGAAAAGAGGGAGAGGGATAGTTCCAGCAAGGTAGGGGAATCTGTGATGACTGGGAACTGGGGGTGGCTCTTTGGCTCCCTGCTGCCCAACGTGATAGCGGAGAAGGCACAGAATCTCTGAAGCTGATGGGGTTACTCCAGTATCCAGTCCTCATAATTGGGACTTCATCTTCTGTTCTGCAGAAATGGCAATATTCCAACTTACCCTTCCCATCTTCAGTCTTATTCGAGTAAGGTTTTCGTCAGGTGTAGCCTTCTTCCCCCACGATTATCTAACCTTCTGCCCTGAGGAAGTACCCTGCCCCCTGCTCCAGAGACTCTCCCACCTGAGGGCCTGTCCTCCCTCAGCCTTCTGCCCTCCTGCCTGGACCTCCCCGCCCAGCCCAACCTGCTCTGAAGTAATTTCACCCATCAGGCAGTGCAGGCACTGTTGCTTTTCAAGGGACTGTGAATGTATGTGACAGCAAAAACAAAAATGATTCATTAGATTTAAAATACTATAAAAAGAAAACTTCAAAAAAGAAATAAATACATGATGAATTAAATGTCTACAAAAAGCAACATCATGACAACTCAACTCATAGT